AGGCCGGGACGGCGCCCGGAGGGAGGCCGAGCCCTGCGGGCGGCGCCCGGCGGGGGCTCCGGCGCCCGCACGCTCACTTCCACGCACCAGACCTTCAACTCTCACCGCCGGCCCGCTTCTGGGACGGCCCGCTCCCCTCCCCCCCAGCTCTGGACTCACCCCTTGCCCTCCGAGCCGCAGCCCTGGGGCGACCCCCGTGCGGCTCCGAGGGTCCCCGAGGCTCGCTGTCTCTCTGGGGGCACCATTCGTTCCTCCGGTCTCTGAGCTGCTCTCCAGAGTTCCCCCACCCCCATCCTTAGAGAGCCCCCGTCACCCCTTATTCTCTGACCTTCTTGTCACCCCCTTTGTCAGGGGACCCCCCCAATCCTGCTTCTCCTCCCTTGACCGGACCTTACCCCTTCCCGTGCCTCGTGCCCAGGACCTCTCGCCCTGTGGCGTCCCTTGAACCGCACTCTTTTTTCGAGCTCCCTCCCCAGCTCGCCCCGGGGTCCCCCACTTTTGGCACCCCCTCGGTGCCACCCCGATGATCCTTTCCGAGATTTCAGGGTTCCCCTAACCTCAGCCCCTGCACGACGGCACATCTCTCTCGGTCCTCTCCCGAACCTCAGTCTCCTCTCGCTCGTCTCTCAAGCGCTCCTATTTTTCTCTGAATTTTTTGTCCGATTTTATTGAGAGGAACTCGGAGCTGGGGGCTTTCCGCCGCCTGTGCCCCCGCCTCCCGCTCGGCCAGAAGCACCTTTTTACGAGGTACCCTGTCTCAACTCGGTGGGGGCCCGGGCTGAGAACCGAGAAAGAGGCGACCGGGGGGCCCGCGAGAGCGCTGGAGCCCAGACGGGAGACGGAGAGCGACACACACACTCTCGCGCGCGCGCGCACTCACCAACTCTCCCTCTCGCACACGCACCGCTCGGAGTCGCGCTCGCCCCCAGGCCACGAGCCGGCGCCCCCAGAACCTCCGCCGGGCCACAGCCCCTTCCCCACTGGCGCGCGGGGTGGGGGCGGGGCGGCGGAGAGGCCAAGGTGACCAGAAGCCGGCAGGGACTGGGCTCTCGCAGAAGCGGACCCCGGGGGGCTTCGGCGCGTTTCTTCGGGGCAACCCGGAGGAGAGGGCAAGGAGGGGAGCACAGTGGAGCCTTTGGGGCCCGGGTTAGCGGAATGGAGAGGTGGGGGCTGAGAGAAGAGCGGGGCCGCGCCAGCCCTGCAGCTTGAGTTTCAAATGAGCTCATCCTTTCAAATTGGCGCCGCTCTTTATTAAATTTGTTTTTCCGGTAATGCCACCCACAGCCATACCTGGGGTCGGGATCGGGGCTCGCACCCTTAACACCTCGTCCCAGGACACGGGGCGCCCACCTTTCTTCCCACTGGGAACCAAGTTTGCCCAGCTTGAACCGGGTAGGAGACCCCTTGAGGGCGCCCGAAGGCGGAGTCGGAGCGTGGAGTTCTGTGCGTGCCCCTCCTAGACCCCCGCCCGTTTGATCTCGGGAAGGTTCTGAGTGCTTTAATTTCTGTTTTAAAGGTAAAGTGGAATTGCATGGGAAAATCATGGAAGTTGATTACTCAGTCTCTAAAAAGCTCAGGTAAATATATTTTGCTTAGTTATTTTGTGATTGGGCTTACGTATAAATACAAAAATACACTCAGTTTTTAAAAATGTGCTTTTATAGTTTTTTAAAAAAAGGCTTTTGTTTGTTTTGTTAGTGGAAATGAAATAGTTTAGAAAGTTACATTTTTTACTTTCATTATATAAGGTGTTTACTGTACTTGGAAAATAGCTGGTGCCTTATTGGGGGTTGGGGGTGGCGATCACTAGCTGTGTTAAATTCGCTGGGATCGTTTAACTTGTTTATGAAAACTTGCCTCCCCCACCCCCACCCCCACCCCTACCCCCAGCACAATGGCAACAAATGCTTGTCAAGACTTCCTGTGAGATGTTAAGAGTAAATATTTACTGTGTCAGCTAAATTGCTTAACTAAACTTCGCGATTAATTAGTTTTCTTTTTTAGATGGCTTAATGTTGAATAATAAAATAATTCAGTAAGGGGTCGATATTTTGCATAGCACTTTAAACAAGTAGGTTGTTTGGATTGGATGGCAGTTAAAAGGCAGACTTTTTTTAGTCACTGAGACTACTGAATATTGCTTCTGAGCGTTGTGTTGTTGTTGCTTTTAAGATATGTTTGAGGCTAAACAAATATCACTGTGAAATCTATAATTATGTTTAAGTGCACTGTTGTTAATGAAGGAGCAAAAAGTTTTGTGGAGGTTGGATTTCTCCAGTGATTTGCTTACATTGGAATGTCTATGAGGAGAGAATGAGGGAGAACATCTTTGTTTAAAGTTTATTGTGGACTTTAAATTTGGGCCCTTTATTACTCATTCTAGATTTTTTTCTCCTATGTGTCGTAATTTAGTTTATATCCCATTCACATACATTTCTTCACCATTAGTCATTAAGTAGCTGAATTGGAGACTAAGTGAAGGAGCTTGACTTACCACCTTTACAATCTGTGATACTCAGTAGTGTAACCATTTGCTTGATTTTTGCCAGGATTGAATAGATTTTCAAACAAACTATCCTAATTTCATAAATACATAGATGTTTTGTTAAAGGGGTTTTTAAAAATGTGTGCACATTTCCAGATATGTTTTAACTAAGCAACAGAATATCTTTTGTTTGCCAATGATTCTGTGGCATATCAGAAAACTACTTAATACCTTTAAAAAAAGAGGTAAAAGTAATGATTTGCAGTTTCATGTGTAATACTAAGCTAGTTCTCCCTAGGAAAAGATGTAAAGTGTAACTGATTGGTTTTTCAATTAAGTATTTTAAATTTTATACTCTAAAAAATTTTTTTTTGGCTTGAGAAATCTAAGTTGAATCTTTCTGATATATTAAGTATTTATTGTAGGTTAAAATTATTACCTTATAACACTTGAATATTTGATGAATATATTGAACAGGGTTCTGAAGAACCACTCAAAATACTTGATGGGCTGTGTTTCTATAAATATCTAATTCGGTTGGCTATGTAGCTGTTTTGAGTTCTTTTTGGATTATAATTAGTAAAAATCAGTAGAATTTTAACTTTGGTTAGTTGGTGTCTCATTTCATGTTGCTAAGTATGTTATTTAATATTGCAATCTAAATGAAATACTAGTTTATCTAAAGTTATTAACATCTGAAACTTCTCACAAATAAACTACTTTTAAACTTTTTTCTTTCAAAATGCAGAGGTTATTTGCTTTTAGCTGGAATGTCATTTAAATAATTTTGTTATGTTTATATAAGAGTTCAGAATTGAAAACTTGTCCTAAATTTTTAGCATTAATTAAATAGAAGCAATCTAGAACCTATACAGCCCTATTAGTACATGATTTCTTTGAACATTGTGGGCGATATGAAATACCTAGGAGGTAGATTAAAATGCGCTGTGCATGATTCACTACACTGAAGACGTCTGACATACCAAATGTATGCATAAGCTGCTGCTGTAGAGGGTTGCATCATTTCTGATTGGATGGTTTTAATCTTTTTTTCCTTTCCTTTATTAGTTTAAAATGCAGAAATTAGTTACTGGTACTGCAGGCTAAGGGAGAGATAGCTAATGACTGGTATTGTGTACTGAGCTCAGACTCCTGGGAGGAGGCAGCTGTATGTTCTCATGTACAGGGCTCTACCACGGTGGGGACTCTCAAAAAGCAGGGTACTGTGACATTTGAAACCAAAGCTTTTATGTTACATGGTGACTATTTTGGTGTTCTTTTGTTGCACTTCCATGAAAATTAACAAGTTAGAAGTACATTTGTCAGCGTTAAGTCAGTTTTATATGTGGTTTTTTTGTTAGTTGAAGTGAAAATGTGAAGAAAACAGTTCATCCTCATTGCTTGCTTACTTAAAAAACCATTCCACAATTAGTGCTCATTTTCTTTATATTGTTCTGACTTCTTTCTGTTCTCAAGAATCAGTTTTAATATCTACATTCCAAATAGATTTTTTTAAGCTAATGGTGCTTGGGAGGAGATGTTTTTATCTTAAGTTATGAAAATACTGGCATGCCATATGCTTACCAATTGGATCTTTTGTTAAATATCATTCTAGCATCATTTTATATGTGCTGTTATAGTAGACAGACCAGAAGTAGAAAACTTTTTTCTTTTGCCACATGTGCTTCATTCTTATTAAATGTAAATTATTGTAATGTAAACCATGTACAAACCATCTATTTTTTCTTACTTTCTAAGTTGGTTTCAGGCTCTGTTAAATAAAAATCTTCAGATCTTTTTTCTCTATTCATATTTCTTGCTAGTATATATGAATCAAAGATTTCTTAAAGAAGAAAAAACTAAAAAGGGCTTTAAGAGTTGTGGAAACTTCCTCGATCGAAATTCCATTTTTGATGTTGATGAGAGTTTGGTTAAAAAAATTATATATATGTCTACACACTTACACACACACATGCGCGTGCGCACATACACATATTGTATAAATTGTTTTGAGTTGAGACATACACTAACCTGAATGTGCTTTTATAACCAAAGTTGAATGATTCTGTGAGAAACAAAACTTTGAAAAATGCAATTTCTGCCCACTTCTAGGAAGTAACTAAGTGGTGCTAGACATGCTTTCACTGAGATGGTGAGAATACTATGAGGTAGTGTAGGAAAAAGCTATGAATTTGTCTTTCATGAGTTAAAAATCAGTAATTGTCTTCTCTCCAATGCAAATGAATTTGGTCTCCTATAGGAATGTTAAAGAAAACAGTATCTCAATTGTATTTTGCTTGTATGTACTACATTGTGTATAGTTGAATTAAATACCAAAAAAACCAAAACAAAACAAAACAAAAACCCAACAACCACCCAACCTCAAGTCCTCCCTGCAACAAAGACTTTTAGTGCATCAATTTTTAATTTTGTAGCAACAGAAAAGACTTTATTAGGTTAAAATCGTATGGTAGTCTCCTATTTCAAGAATTTGTTGAATTAGAAATTAATGTCTGGATTTAATTAGATAGATTCCATGTGTGGATATAGTATGTATATTTATATATACATATTCTCTCTCTCAAACTCTAAGGTTACTTTTCATTTGGCTTTTAGTTAGACATTTAGTTTCCCATTTTAAAAAAGGCTAATAGTTTTTTCATATGGTTCTAGGTAATGCCATAGAAAATTACATGTTTTTGTGACCTTTAAGAGCTAAGTATTAAAATTAAAATAGAAGCAATACAGAAAAAAATTACTTGATAATTCAGATTTAAATTCTAGTTTGCATTTTAAAAGGCAGATTATTTGATGCTTTTATATTATTTAGTTAAATTTTGAAAAACCATTGAAATCTATAAAGCAAAATAGGTATATACTGCTTGACTTTTTCCAATTTGCCAAATTCATATCAATTTTAAATTATAGTGATTTATAAAAGTATTAAATGGCTAAACATCTAAACATTAATTCTAAAAGGTGATTTGGTGATACGTAATACATTTGCCAAATTGTGGGTTTTTTTTTTTTAATTATGTTTCTTTGTTATTATGGCTGGGTATAAGATAACCAGTAAGGGATGGTCTCATAGTTTTGTTTTCTATTATGTTAACCTGAGACTATCATTCATATAGAGAAGATGAAAGAAGATTAGTAATATTTGTACAACACCTTTTATATGTAATGATCTAAAGTGCAATATTTTCCTCAAGAAGAAAAATTTTAAAGGACATTGGAAGATTTAGAACTAATTGCATATCAAAATCAACATTTCACTATTATTCTGAGTAAATATTTTTATTTTATGGAGATTCCTCCAATTTTTCATTTGGGGGTATGTAAATGACATTGAAATGTACATAAAAGGATAGTAATTTGGACAGATTTATTAAAAGTCAAGAAAGCTGTGAAAATCATATTTCTATAAGAAATATTTATAAACATTTGATACTTTCAACTTTTAAAATATTTGCTCGCTACTGCTGAATCATTCTTCCAAGTCTGCTAATAAAATCCTCAAAAGTAGATGAGTGATTGGTCAGAATTGTTAGAGGACATTATCTGACCTAAATGTATCATCTCTGATTCAGTGGGGTGTGTACACATAGGGGAGGGGTGTGTGTGTGTGTGTCTATTTTGTGGGAGACAGTACTTTCAGAGAGATGGTATCAAGAAGGAAGAGGAGGAAATCTTTAACTGAGCAACAGTTGTTCTGGATTTCAGTCCTGACAGGGCAAAGGAAAATCACTGGATGTTTGAACCTTAAAGTGAAGGGAATCGAGTGAAATGATACTTGCCTGAGTGATGCATCACTCTTGCAGGTGGTTAATCTTGTGGAAGCCAGGGCACAGGTACCTGTAGTCGCTTCTCCAGTGAGCATGCTGCTGGAAGGACCATCTAATGCAAAATTTACCCTCCTTCACTTCTGCTTGGATGTCCCCTCTCACTAATAAAGTTAGCAAGTGATTCTGTGAAGGCTTTGATTTTCTATAGAAAATTTAAGATTTGAATATGCATTTTCATTTAGAAATTCTATACTGTGAAAGGCAGTTATTATTTTGCATAACAGGAGTACTCAGAGAATCAGTTTCA